TAGGAGACGCGAATGATATTCATGTTCATGGGGTTTCTTTTATGGACATGTTCAAAACATATATGTTTCATCAAAAAAATAGATTCATTCATAATAATATCCATCACAAAATAACCCATGCACGAAAGATTATTATGAATCATCATCAACGTTCAAAATTGGCTAAGCAAATGATCGGTGTATCTCCTGAAGTATGCCTTAATGTTCTTCATTGTCCATATAAATCTATGGAATTGGCTCATATCTCTCTAGGTAAATGTCAGACTAGTATCGAATAGATTCGAATGCATAGTTTTTATCATCTAACATTTTAGCTGAAAGTTATGTTCGACCTAATCAAAGTATTCTTCATCCATCAACACATATTGAAAACGAAATTCAAAATACATTAAAAGATATGAAAGAAAAAGTTTTTCGTCAAATAACCAACTATTGTAAACGAGAACCACCAAAATTGATGATGAATCGTTTTTGTGAACTTCTTGAAAATCGACTACGTCAACGTTTTATGGCTCCAATACCTTATGCTGATCAAAGACGTGCACAACGAGAATATGATTTAGTTAAATCAATACGACGAAAAGCACATAAATTTAAACATATTATACGTGTTTGTGATAAAGGAGGTGGTCTACATATTGGTGATAAAAGTGATTACGTAGATCTTGTGTTGATATATCTCTTTTTCGTTTATTTTTCAAGATAATATCTTTATTATTATTAGCTGAGACAGATTTAGTTTCATTCTTGTTTCGATTTTGTTTTATTTTCTATTAGCATAACAAGACAGACATATAAAACGAAATGATAAAGAAACAAATTAACTACACTGATATGACTTACTGAAATGGATGTAGCTATTTTCGATTGCTCGTTTTGATTTGCTGTTGTCGACTTCGAATCACTTTGTAATTGTTTTAAGTTTTGTTTTTCTTTCACAAGTTCACGTGCTGCTAATTTTTTGTCAACCTGTTCTTTTGTTTCACCACGTTTATATCGTCGTCGACGAAATC